CTCATAGAGAGATTTATACACGCCAAATGTTATACAGTATTAATTTAATAGTAAATATAATATTATTATTTTTTAACTTATACACTTGGAAAGTACCAATGGCGTCATATGTCTAAAATTTTCATTTTCTTTGTGATTTTTTGCATAGTTGTGTATATCTTTAAACTTTTAAATTGAGGTTCCTATAACTTTTCTAACTTTTGTTTTTCCATTTTATATACTATGTTTTTTTTATCATTCGTCTTTTTATTTATTTTAGTTGATATTTTTATTCTGTATATATCATTTATTTATTTTATGGTTTATGTCATGTCTATGTTTCATTTTAAATTTTGTTTCTTAATTAGAATTTTGTCTATGTCGCGTTCTTATTGTGCGCATCCTCTTTTATATAATAAGATATACTACCTCCAATGTTTTGATTTAGACAATATAGAGTTATAGACCTCGACTGTTTTTCTAAATCCATTTTCTGCGTTTAAATAAATAATTTGAAGAAACTTTTCAAATTTTTGAAATATAAAGATTTAAACTTTCGAAAATGCTTTTCTAAAATACAAACGCGAAAAAACCTTTTACGTTTAAGTTTACACCTTAGAAATAAATTTTGCTTAAGATGCTTAAGGTTGTGACTTGTGAGTTTAAATAACATCAATGCCAAAGCAAACCAATGTATAGGAAGATTTACATAACATCAATGCCAACACAAACGTAGAAATAAATAAATTTTTAAAAAAGATCTAAGATCACAGAAAAACTGATATTGTATTTCCACTAAAGTATACGTACTAGTAATTTGAAAGCTTTTCTCAAAACAAATTAAAGGAAAGAAATTAAGTCTCTGAATTTTCTAGAGAAATTGGCCGCAATAACAACCAAAAAAATTATCATTTGTAAGATAACTATATGGACGTCATTTGTATTATCATGACTAGGATATGAAACATAATTTGTGTATTAATGGCCAAAATCTCGAACCCCTCTCCTCCATTTTCAACTCCAAAATGGAGTAAACTTTTTTTTCCTCTAAATATGGAGTAATCTCATCCTCCACTCCATTTTAGAGTTGAATTTTATTATTTATAAAATGGTCTTTCAAATTGTAAATAATTTCATTTTTAGGAGGTAAATAATTATTTTGGTGATGATTTTCTATTTGTTTGATATTAGTTTTAATTAAAGTTTTACGAATTTGTCAAAATCACAAGAATTTGCAACAAAATAATTATATTATATTATAATGTGTGAAATTGTGATTATGTGTAAGTTTTTTTTTTAAATGTGTATGTACGTCTAAGTTCATTTATGTTATTACGAATTGAATTTTTTAAAAATATATATTTTAAAGTTATTATGTATGTATGTGTGAATTAATATTAACAAAACAGAATGTTACAACTTTAATTTATAAAATAAAAAATATTGGGGTCAATTTGTATTTTTTACAAATAAAATGTATTATTAGTAATTAATAATAAATTGAAAAAGAAATATAAGTAAAATATTTTTTTTGAGTGAGAAATGAAATAATACACTGGAGTAAAATCCAACTTTATTTTGGAGTTACTCTATTTTAGAGTGAAAAATAAAGTGATACATTAGCGATGTTCTTAGTAAAAAATATAATACATTCTCTTTCTTTTTTGTTCTTCATTTTTTTTCCCTCTCATCTTGTTTATTTCAATTCTCATTTTGAAAAAAAAAAGCTGATTCAAATTTGTAATATCACTAAAAATATATAGACTTTTTTCGCACATAGCAAATGTTGATTTTTTTAAAACGAACAAATATTGTTAAAAAATTGATATGTTCTTAAGTTCAGCCACGTCAAATCTATACTATTTGTATCTTTATAGTATAGAATATAACAAAAAATTTGGTCATTAAAACATTATTCACCAATTGAAAAATATTTTGAATCTTAAAAATAAAATAAACCATGATGGATAACAAAAATGTGTTTTATGTAGGATTACGAAATATAATCAACTGATAATTCGAAAGGAAATCACTAAAACAAAATGGAATGTGAAAATTATTTATTATGTATCAAATCGAATATAACAAAATTGTATCGTATGGAAGGATGATAGAAAATTTAAATTATTTAATGTGTAATAGTTAAGATATTAAGATTTTGTTTTGCTAAAGGTAAGGAATAAGGATATTACGTTGACAAGTGTAGGTGGTAACTACAGTGGTGCCAGCTTATCATACCCGCAGGTTAGGGTAGAATGGATCATTTTTGACCCATTAAATTATGGGAAATTGGCTAAAATAACCTAAAAAAAATTATATTTCATTAACTAACTAAATCATCCTAATCTAATGATTTCTATTTTTCTATATCATACTATTTTCATTAGATTACAATTTTTTTTTTTGGTTATTGTTGCAAATCACCCTTAAATTATTCACTTATTTTTTTTAAATCCGTGGCTATATTCTTTATTACTTGTGCCAATATGATTATTAAGCCAATTCACCCATTTTCCTAAAAGAGAAAAAGAGTAAAGCTTAAAATCTGAAATAAAGTGTGATAATTAATAAGTAATGATGGCCCGATAAAAATATTCGGGACAAAGTGTGAGTTTAGTTTCTACAAAGAACATGGTCATTTTTAATTTGTCAAAGAGAAATGGTATCACGTTTTATATTTATTAACAATATATTAATAAATAGACTATTCGACGATTACACTTACAATAAAAATTAGCCAGATCTCAATCTGCATCATCTTGAATTATCGATATATATATATATAACGAAATGTGTGTGATAATCAAGACTACTCTTTTTTTTCCGATTTGGGTTCATTAAGAGAACCGGGCCTTGGACTTGCTATATGCATCGAACTCAGTTGCTATGGAACACAGACAGACTTGGTGTGAAAGCTATTCATTGGTGTCTTCTAACTTTATGAGGTCGACACATTTTTAAACTTTTGCTTCCCAAAGCTCAATACGACCCACACGACTACAGTGGTTTTTCTAATGTAATTTTGATATCTAATAATAAACGTTTTTTGAAAGAAAATTATTTCATCGATATCATTTTAAATAATTTTTAAGGATGTTACACATAGATTAAGAAAACTTTAACTTTTTTAATTTTTCTAAATTAAAATATCATTTATCATTCAATTAAATACAATTCAACCAATAGTAAAGACTTCTATCGTTGAATCTTCACTATATTTAATAAGTGTATCTTAA